TATATATATATATATATATATATATATATATATGATTATTGTTTTATTTTTTTACTTAGAGTACAGAAATTATGACATAAATTATCGTCCACATTACAGACAATGACTTTTAAGATGTATTTTTCGCAAATGTTTAAATTAAACTTATTTCATTTTCTTCACATTGCAGTATTTGTCTGAAATTCATCATGTCTTTTTTGAATTCAAGTCACCATAAATAGAAGACTGTAATATTTGTGCTGGTGGAACTGCTCTCTTTTGGGGTTTTCCGGATGTTATTATTCTCTAGTTTTTTTTTAATTTTTTTTTTTAGATTTATTTATTTGTGGATTTATTTTTTATTATTATTATTTCAAACATCCAAGTCCCCATTGAATTCGAGGCCTCTGTGTTAAAGGGCACGCTGTCTATCACGTGACGAAGTCACCAGCAAATCACCTGCTAAGATTTGTTTCCTTATGAACCAATAAGGACGCGTTGTACAGCAGCAAAACGCCCTTCATTTGTTAGATTGATCTCCGGTTTCTGTGTTTGTCAAATTATTTAGCTAACCTACGTTAGCATGCTAGCTGGAATGGTAACCAAAGGAATGGTGAGCAGCTGTGCACTTTCCTTCGAAAATTAAGGTGGGACACGCCTTAACATTTATTAATATTTAAAGGGACGTTTATACAGTTCAAGCAAATACGGTGAGTTTAATTAATAAGCTCTCTTAAGTGCAATATCCACAGTTAAAAGACTGGTTTTGTTAGCAACGTCAAATGTAACCTTAAACCTAAAGCTGACGTTAGGTAAGTCAAGTAAGACAAATGAGACGGTGTAAATCTGGTAAAATTAACTCGTCGTATGCTTTGACAGCTTATGTTCCCAAAATTCCAGCTGTCAAGTAGAAATATGTTACGTTCAGCTGCAACACCCTGGTCCATAACATTTGCTAACGTAGCACTGTAATCTCAGATTGTGGTGAATGACACGATAGCTCATGCTTGTACCAGAAATGACGAGACTTTAACTATACATTTGGTTAAAATCAGAACATTAGTTTAAAATTTGTTACGGCTCCGACGAACAACGTTAGACACACAAGTTTTAAAACGTCTTCAATGAAACAGCTAGGTTAGCACGAAGCTAAGCTAGCTGAAACAACCCGTCCTAGTGTTAACTTTGTGGTTGCAAGTAGCTATGCTAGCTAAATTTGCATGGGATGCTTGATTAGCGTTATTGTTGTTATTTTTTAATTTTTTTTTTGAGATACGTGTTTAGGTTGTGTGTGTTTGACCTCAACTATAGCATTTGTTTCCTGTTTCCACCAAGGCAGCGAATGGCCCGGAGACTACTTGTCGTGGGACCTTCATAAAAAGAGGGACATCAGTCTGAACCTCTGAACGAGTGATGAACTTAAACCCCTTCTGGAGCATGTCTACCAATACAAGTCGTAAGGTAAACGTTGTGGAGTTTTTTTTTTTTTGTTTGTTTGGTTTTTAAGCTGTAAACATACTGTAAACATTGACATTCCCATTCGGTATTTTTTGTGGAAAAAATGGCAAACTTGATATTGATACACCACTTTAGTGTCCAGAAGCTCGCCCTTTCCGATATGTACAAGCCTGTGGAAACCTCTCTCTAAAATGTGCTGCACATGATAATCATGAGCTTTGCAAAAGAGATTTTTGATGACTTGACAGTGCAGTAAGGTTTGTTTGTTTGATTTTGTTTGTTAAATTAAAATCTTCACATATTAAATGTTTTGACTGCCTATTAAACCTGGAGCTATGGGTTACAAAGGTTGTATTTCTGCTGATTGCACTTCCTAAGATTTAAAATAAATAAATAAATAAAATCTGTACTTGTCTGCCAAAACTTGATTACGATAGTCCTAATAATTTAACATTTGAGGGGACAAACATCAAACTGAGAAAATGTATAGCTTTGTCTTTTCTCAGCCTTGATTCCCACACCTGTTCCCACTTGGATTCATATTGTTAATCTTGTTAACAAATCTTGTTAAACTGGAAAACTTTCATACTCGACCTAAGGGTGTGGTTTTTCCACTCATTTTGGGGGAAATATGCTTATATTGTGTGAAGTTTAACTATAACCATATGATTTTAAACTACATTATTAGTCCTTTATTTATCCAGGTAAAAAATCTCATTGAGATTAAAAATCTCATTTCCAAGAGAGACCATTATAACAAAGTCTCCACTCTTTCTGTGTTGTGGTGTTTGGTGAAGTTTGCTACTGCTTGATTAAATTTCCAGCAGCACGCACAGTGGTGGTTAGGGGATTTAGGATGGACGAAAACCGTGTGAGTGACCTTGTTTCTCTCATCGAAGGTACATTTTAACACATTCTACAGTCAAGGGTATTTTTTTTTCGTATTTTTTTTCTTTTTTTTTTAGTGATTATGCAGCCTAAATTTGGTGTGTTGGCAATATTTATTGCAAGCATTTCTTGCACTGTTTCTTATGGCTTCCTGATGTATCCTGCCATTCAAAACAGCATTCTTCTGTTTTGTGTTCAGAGTGCACTGTGACACTTTACCGCAACTCCTCCTATCATCCTTGCATCATCAGTAAGATGGAGTTACAGCTAGGCATGAAAACGCTTGCTCTTGCCTAGACATGGCTCCCTGTCGAGCTACAAACCAGATGGGCAGTGTAACCTGAGAGGTCACTCACAGCATATGGTCACTACCCTGTGCCATTGGATTACTCCTTAGGTCTACCGTTTGAGCATTTATATACACTATCTAAATTCGACTCAGGGGGTTCCTTCTGATTTTTTTCCCCCTCCCACATAGCATGGGCTTTAATGTTTGGTGTGTTAAGATCCCTGTCATGTTCTCAATCCTGAACAGCAGAGATCTGACAACGAGGAACAAAGCGGGCATGGCGAGCAGAGGGCCAGTCCAGCCCGGATGCCCTTCGGCAGAAAGCAGCTTCCGCCGATTCCTAAGAATGCAGCCCCTATTACCAAGCCTTCCCCAATGGGTGCTCCAATCCAGTCTGCCAATGGCACGCACGCCTCTTATGGCCCTTTTTACTTGGAGTACTCTCTGCTGGCTGAGTTGTACGTATTGGTCCAGTATCAGAATTTAAATTTCAGTTTGTTGTTAATTTCTTGGCATGCCCCAATATGCTGGTAGCCCTTGTTTTTAAAATACCCACTGTATACATTTTGTATTAAACTAGTTTCACAGTATCACTTAAATTGTTTTTATTTGGTTTCCCTTCTTCTGATTTTTCTTGTGACCTGCAGCACATTAGTGATAAAGCAGAAGCTCCCTGGAATTTATGTCCAGCCATCCTACAAGTCTGCACTAAGTAAGGATTCCACTTTTAAAAGTTCATGCAATTAATCACTTTTTATATATCAGGGGAAAGGAAAAAAAGTGATAAGTGATTCTAAAATGGCATCTCTCACTGTCTAGTGTGGTTTGGTGTCATATTCATCAGACATGGCTTGTACCAGGATGGTGTCTTCAAGTTCACTGTGTATATTCCAGACAATTATCCAGATGGGGAGTGTCCTGTAAGTATTAAAAAAATGTTCTTGTTTGATATTTTGCCCCTTACCAAAAAGTGAGACTGCATGATTTAGCTAAAAAGAGTAAACATTGTAAAATACAAGATGTATGTCATTATAAATAAGAAGTAGCAGCATAAATGATGTATACATAAACTGTCATAAAATATGGTTTAAGAAAAAATGGTGCAAACAATTTGTTTCAGAAATTAGTATTTGACATACCAGTCTTCCATCCACTTGTTGACCCTGTGTCTGGAGAGCTTGATGTCAGAAGAGCTTTTACCAAATGGAGGTAGGTTTATCATTTTTCTGCTTATGTACTTTGCTTTGTTACTTTTTTCAAATTATATTTTGAAGTGGAAGAAATTGGGGGGAGGTTGGAAAAACTTGAGCAACTAAATGAATCACCAAGCTCTGTGTGGGCTGCTGCTGTAGCCCATAGGCTTCAAGGTTCAACAGAAGTACTCTTTTGCATACCTTGGTTGTAACAAATGCTTATTTGAGTAACTGTTACTTTTCTATCCCCTGGAAGGAAACTGGCCGCCTCTGGCTGCTGGTGCCTACAAGGCATTTTCAGCGAGAACTGCCACTTGCTGATATTTTCTATTTTCAGACCGTGTTTTAAACCCAGTAGATCAGCATTTTCTTAAATACACAGACTAGTTTGTCTGGTGCCCACACCCATGCTACCACCCAGTCAGTCAAAGTCATTTAAATCACTTTTCTTTCACATTCTTATGTTTGGTTTGAAATTCAGCACGTCACCAGGTTTACATGCCTGACTGATTTACTGTCATGCGATTGCCTGAGATATTTGCTGTAACATACAGTTGAACAGGTGTAAAATATGAGGGAGAGAGAGGGAGAGATGCACCAGGAAACATGATTCTGAAAAGTAACACAAATCCAAAAACTGTATGCCATGACTAGCTGTGCTTCTGGACGTTATCAAAAACTGAACTATGCACAAGGCAGTAAAAACAAGTTTATTATGCTATTCAGCAAGAACTGACAATGGCATGGACTGTAGTACAAGTTTTACATTTAAAGACATCTTGGCACTCCTCCATGATGCAGGTGTAGCTAACACCTCTGTTTGTTAACTCTTGGCTGAGGAAAACTCATCTGTTCCTGAGTTAACTTACAAATTACCTGCTTGCTAGCAAGTTTTCTTCAACAAACTTAGTATTTCTCTCTGCTGCACCGGAATCATCTTAGTGACACCAACTAATTCATAAAGTAATATTATATGGGCTTTATGCTGCAATATAAAGCACCTTGGGGCGACAGTAATTTTTTTTAATTTTTTTTTATTTTTGGCTCTCTATATACGATATGTAACTGAATTAAAATAAATCAAACATTTACTGACTTCATCCACCAATGTGTGTGTATAGACGGAATCACAACCACATCTGGCAAGTCCTGATGTATGCACGTACAGTTTTTTACAAGATTAACACCACAGAACCACTCAACCCAGAGGCTGCTGTACTGTGAGTTTAACATTCTTGGATTTTGCCTTTTTTTTTTTTACCTTAATGGAACTTGTTGTGTGTGTATATTTTATTTTTCCTCTGAAAATGTTTAAAGAAAAATCTTGTTAGTCATTTATAGAAAAACATATAATTAAAATCTAGACTAAGAAACTGGACTTTTAGCACTCGGTGCAAAGTGATGTTTCTAGCTAAATAAGTTTGACACTGGCTTCTTTTTTTTTTTTTTTCCCAGCTACGAGAAGGATGTGCAGTTGTTCAAAAGCAAAGTGGTAGATAGTGTGAAACTATGCAACAGTCATCTTTTTGATCAGCCAAAGATCGATGATCCCTACGCAATAAGGTTGGTCAACTGTCTATTTCACATTCTAGTGCTGACCACAATAAGGAAAAAAGTGTGTGTGTTTGTTAAAACTCTAAAGGGGGAAAAAATTATCTTGTGTTCAATTCTCCACTTTGATCCATTGGTTTCAGTTTTTCCCCATGGAACCCAGCTGTGCATGAAGAAGCAAAAGAGAGGATGTTCACATACAAGGTAAGTTTTGCTAAATTAAAACTTTGCACTTTCGAAGCAGGAGAGAGTTTAATCTGTATGTTTTCACTGGTGATTCTTGTTATGCAGCTTTTAATTTGTTATTGTTGCCCTAGAGACGACCTGAGGATCACCACAAGGCATCTCAGGCATCGGGTTTGTCTTGGGTAAAGCCTGGCTCGACACAGCCCTTCAGCAAAGAAGACAATCCTCCCCAGAGCTGAACCTGCAATGTCAAGATAGTGGCCACTAGAGGGAGTCAGAAGCATCAGATTCCATGCCACAGGCTTGCATCAGCCATCTGTGTGAAAGTGGAACCTTGGTAGTTGGCAACTTTATATTAGCTCTTCACATTTATTGCTTGGCTTTAAAAGCTTTTTTTAGGCCTTTCCTCAAAGAGTTTTAGAAAAAAGGAAACCAAGTTTGTATCATATTTAAATCAACAATGACAAATGGATGCGTCAACATCCTTTAGGGTAAGATGCAATCAAAGTACATTCTCATTTTCGTTTTCTTATCCATTCACATATTTAGTTACGTTATGACATACAGCTGTAAAAGGCTGTGGAAGATGTGAGCGAAATTATTTTCATTCTTATTGTAAATACAGTGGATTGCATATCAATACCACTTGTTCAATTTGGCTCAGGACTGTTTATTTGTAAGACTCGGAATGTTTAATCACAGCTGTGTCGGTGAAAAAAACCCTGTCACATCCTTCTCTATTACCAAGTTAGGTTGACATTTGCTTTATTTGTGTCTTATTGGACAATGAGTTTTTTTTTATTTCCACTGTGTAAATGGTTGTCTTACTTTGCTCCTAATATTTATGTAAAGCAGAGTTGGCAAATATGGTTTTAAATAAGATTCTAAGTAAGTAAGCTTATGTATTTTGACAGATTTCAAATCATTTTGAATGTTTTATATATATATATATATATCATTGGTTAAAAGTTTGATGTGTAAATATTGGATTCCATGCTGAGGTTTAAGAGACATCTGCATTGGTGCTCTGTAAGAGAATGTCTTTTT